GAAGTATTGGCTGAGTTTGACTTCCAGCAAGTATCCGGATAGTTGAAGCCACCCATCACGACTATATCTCTCCTTTCTGAGTGTGTGGTCATGCATACACGTACATATTAAGACGATTAATGTGTCTACTCACATTTTAGCTAGCACATATCCCACAATCTTGCCATTCTCATCCTCAGCAATATAGGAAAGCTAGGGAAGAGCATGAAGGTAGTTAGAGGAACAATGAGTAAACCAACCAAGAAGTTTGTTTTCAGCCAAGTCATGCACCCTTACAGGTATCATTGGACTGCAAATTCTATCAGCCCTAGCCTGCACATCAAGGGTAAGGAATACTCAAGAGTTACAATCCAGCAACATTTAGATGGCTGCACAATTTTCACCACAGATTTGACTGACAGAAAGAAGGTCTCCCAGCCCCCACTCCAAACAGTCCCAAGCAAAAGTAGCATTGGCCTGGAAAAATGAGCAGCTCTTACTGTGGGAACAAAATCAAAAGGTCAGTAATGAAGACCAGCAGAAATATGACTCTTCCACAAGCAAAGCCAAAGGGGATTACCTTCTCAACTACCCAGCTCAAAATCTGAGCTCTGACTTAATTCACTAAGGTTGGGTTTTTAAAAAATACCTAGTGAGTTTATATTAGTAGCAGCATCACAGTATTACAGGTGTTTTTGGCAAGTGAGAGACAGAGCAATTTGCCAGGAGGTAACTCAGAGCAAACAGATTTTTCTCTAAAGAAGCAAAGAGAAATGTCAACCATTTCTCTCTATCTCAGACATATTTTGCCCCTATGCTCAACTTCTGTAAGCCTGCATCCACACTGCAGAAACAACCCAGTTTGACACCACTTTAACTGCCATGGCTCGATGCTATGGAATTCTGGGAATTGTAGTTTTGTGAGACATTTAGCCTTCTCTGTCAGAGCGCTCTGGTGCCACAACAAACTACAACTCCCAGAATTCCAAAGCACTGAAACATGACAGTTAAAGTGTGGTCAAACTATATTATTCCAGCAGTGTGGATGCAGCCTAAGAAAGGAGAATTTGGGGTGTGTGTTACAAGGCTGACTGACAAGAGACAATCTGCAGCTCCTGCCTAAGGAAATTTAAAGTCACACATGTATTCTGTAGGTGGAAACCTCACTGCCCAGTGAGCTTATGGCTTCAGTGAGACCTAAGTGCAGCATTTTCCAATTCTAACCCTATTAGAGTCTAATGAATGTTAATTAGCTCATACAACCTGTAAACCTAGGAAGCACCCCATGAAAGAACAAATAATAATAATAATAATAATAATAATAAAGATCCTACAGAGTGAACAAAGTATCAAGAGTAATTAGAGACCTGTAGAACTTGATTTGTAACTTATTAGTCATCAAAGGCCTCGATCCAAGATGGAGGTTGTGGAAGAGTGAGGTTTTGCACTTGGGAGTCAGCCATAAGACCAGAACTGAGGAGGTGTCAATGACATAAAAGTCAAAAAAACACAACAGAGCAGGGACCTCCAAACTCCTGTGGTGTTTTGGACTTCAGCTCCCAGAAGCCCCAGACAGTTTGGCCAGTAGCCAGGAATTCTGGGAGCTGAAGTGAAAAACATCTGGAAGACCAAAGTCTAGGAATCACTGCAACAGAGGGAGGAAAGCTGGGCTGTGGTTTGTGGTTATGGGATCTGCATTTAGGCCCCTTAAAAGGACCGAGGTTTAGCTTTGGTCCATACCGCTCCACATCTTTTACAAAAGTAGTTGCTGGCTAGTTATGTAGATACAAAGGGAGTTACCTGTGGCCAGGAGAGTCCATGATAGAAGTAGTATTTCATCTGGTAGTTCTCCGGCAAGCAAAGGAGGTTGCAGTGTTGCATGTTCATCAGATCCTCCGGCTGGGGGTGAAGGAAGGAAGAAAAGATGGTTGAAGAAAAGCAGGCAGCAATGAATATCAACGGCCCACCCCTGCCATTGGGGAGCGTCTCTATGGCTTCTTGTTGTTGAAGTTGCTGTTGTGTGCCTTTAAGTCGTTTCCAATTTATGGTGACCCTAAGGCAGGGACCTCCAAACTCCTGTGGTGTTTTGGTGTGTTATCATGGGGTTTTCTTGGCAAGATTTGTTCAGAGGAGATTTGCCATTGCCGTCTTCCCTTGAGGCTGAGAGCGTGTGACTTGCCCAAGGTCACCCAGTGGGTTTCATGGCTGAGCTGGGAATCGAACCCTGGTCTCCAGAGTCGTAGGCCGACACTCAAACCACTGGTCAACACTGCCTATATAAATAATGAATGGAATCTTTAAAATGAAAGGCAGGACGCCTGTGAACTTTCCATCTCTTTCAGGCCCTAATAATCATTTTATTCATATATTTACTTATGGGATTTATATCCCTGTTTTTCTCCCAAAATGGGATTCAAGGAGGGATTCATTTTCCCAAAGGCACTGAATTGGCTGCTGCCATTCATAGACTTCAATGTTGTGCGTCTCCAAGGCGTTCCCGACTTATTTTGGGGTTTTCTTGTCAAGATCTGTTCAGAGGAGGGATTGCCCAGTGGGTCTACATAGCCTGGTCAGGACTTGAACTCTATTCTCCAGGGTCACAGCCCAATGCGTGAACCACTACACCGCTATTAGGCCACAAATCAAGATATATTCTCAGGGTGCATCCGCACTGCGCAAGTAATCCAGTCTGACACCATTTTAACTGCCCAAGGCTCAAGGCTATGGGAATCTCTTCCAAAGAGCTAGTACAGGGGTAGGCAACCTTTCCCCTTTAAGGGCCGAGGGACTTCAGCTCCCAGAAGCCTCAGCCATGTTGGCCAATAGTCCCATGTTGGCCAATAGCTCCTGGGATTCTGGGAGCTGAAGTCCCTCGGCCCTTAAAGGGGAAAGGTTGCCTACCCCTGAGCTAGTACCTTACCAAACTACAAATCCCAGCATTCCATAGAATTTGTATTGTTAAAGCAGCACCAAAATCTGTTATTTCTACAGTGTAGATGCACTCTATTCCAGGTAAAATGTGAACTTTCTTCTCCATTGGAGTAAGCAGCTGGCTCCTTCTGAGGGTGCATCTACACTGTAAAAATAATGCAGTTTGATACCACTTTAAGTGCTGTAGCTCCACCATCCTATGGAATCCTGGGATCTGTAATTTCACAAGGCCTGCCTCAGAAAATTACAAAGTCCCAGGATTTTGTAGCATGATGCAGCCATGGCAATGAAATCGGTATCAAACCGCGTTATTTAGGCAATGTGGACGCACAACCCCTTGACACCCTAATTAATCACAGGGCCTTCTCCTCCGCCTCTTCCAGCCCGGCCTCCCTCTTTCCCCGTCGCCCATCCCGGCGCAGCCGCCCCCGCCTTCCCACCCCAACCGGGACTCGAACCCGTGCATTCCGGATATTCATGGCGGCAGCGGCTACTCCGACCCTTCTTCTAGCTCACGCTACAGCGACTAGAAACACCGCCGCCAGGAAAGACAAGGTCTGAGCGGGGAGACGGCGAATGCGTCCATCTCAGCCTTTCAGCCAATCCCTAGTTAGCGAAGAAGCCGGTAGCCAATCACCATGTAGAATTTATCCCGTCGGCCCCGCCCCCTTCCCTCTACTCCGGAGCATGGCCACTTCCTCAACACCCAATCAATGTGCGCCTAAGAAACGTCATTCTGACCAATGACGAAGCTCCTTGCTCGCTGCTTCTCTTTCCTTCTCCCTCCTCTATGGTTCTAAACTAGTCTTCCATTGCTTCCGCCCATGTCCATGTTAAGAAGTCATTCTCCCCGCCTCTTTAGGCTGGAAGAAACCAACCATCCACTGAGGTCGCGGTTCTGACGCAAATGAATTTTGATTGATTGCTGGGAAAACCTATCACCTACTGAGGTTGGGTGAGGCTCAAATCACCTACAATATCTGATGATTGATAGCTGAATTCAGCCAATTACAGAGCTTGGCTGCTGCCCACTGCAGAAATAATGCAGCTTGACAATGCTTTCATTGCAATGGCGCCATCCTATGGAATCCTGGGATTTGTAGTTTGTTGTAGCACCAGAGCTCTCTGACAGAGAAGATTAAATAGCTCACAAAACTAGACTGCTTTAACTGTTACAGCTCAGTGTTATGGGATTATGAGACTTGTAGTTTTGTGCTACATGACAAACTATAAATCCCTATACTTCAGGATTCCATAGAATGGAGCCATGACAGTTAAAGCAGTGTCAAAATGAATGAATTCTGCAGTGTAGATGCAGAAACAATGCATTAGAGATAATGTGGTGCTGGAGAATAGTGTTGAGGATCCCATGGACATCCAAAAGGACAAATAAATGGGTCCTTGAACAGATTAAGCCTGAACTTTCCCTGGAAGCCAAGATGACCAAGCTAAGCCTGTCATACTTTGGCCACATCGTGAGAAGGAAGGACTCACTAGAAAAGACAATAATGCTAGGAAAGGTGGAGGGAAGTAGGAAGAGAGGAAGGCCACATGCTTAGATGGAGAAGTCCATAGGAATGACTTTGCAGGACCTGAGCAGTGGAGGACAAGGCAGGGGCCTTGGAGACATCTCATTCACAGGGTCACCATGAGTTAAGGTTAACTTGAAGGTAGATAGATAGACTCGAACCCACAGCCCTGAGTTTGGAAGGCCTTTTGTTGTTAACTGCCTTCGAGTCAATCTCGACTCATGGCGGCTCTATGGATGAGACATCTCCAA